ATCCGCCAATTTTTATGTAACTATAGACTAATTTCAAATTAAGACATTCAATTGGAAAGACTTCTATAGATGGTAACATATATGAATTCAGAGCTTTCTTCCTTCAGGTGATTTAAATATGCAATGGTTTTCTATATTTCCTTGCTTCGAAAAACTCTTATTCCTTCTTTTTGTACAACTTATTCACTTTTTATAATTAAAAATATTATTTGATTAAAAAATAAGGTAATTAATTAATTCATATTGTAACTCTTGGCCAAAGAAAATTAGTACACAATATATTGTATTTTTACAAAAAAAAATTATAAGTGGGACTAAAATGTAATATCAATTGTCACCATTTAGCTCATTAATAAATGTTATCTAAAAATTAGTTTAAAAAATCTTACTTTTCTAAACAAATCAAATAATCATGAACACATGGTAATATATATATATATATACTAAAACAAATCAAATAATCATGAACACATAATAATATATATATATATATGTATATATGCGAAAGAGTTAAAAGATTAGGCTTTCATCTTGGATTGGGGGGATGTGGTTTGTTGTTGGCCATTGGGCCTTTCTTGGCCTTTAGGCTGGCAGGCGGGCGAACACTAATTGTAGTATATTTGAGAAAGTCTGTAAATGCATGCTAAAATGTTGCCCAATTGAACCATGACAACATCAATTGGCAAAGTGCAATCAACAGCGGAAGCATTTAGGAATTGAAATTTAGCCTCTTAGCATACATAACATGACCAAAATTTTAAACCCAGGCCAATGGTGAACACAACAATCGGCTTACATTGGCGTTGCAAAAAACCATTTTGGTCCCAGCTCTCCTTAGAGTTCAATGTTAAAAGAGTTACATCATCTGTTTCAGACCTATCTACATGAGCTCACTCTCTCTTTTCTCCAAATTATCCGCGGGTAGAAGGAAGTGATGGAATACTGGGGCATTTGCCATGCTCAATTAGGAGTGTTCTCACTCTCTTTCATGATCAGCAATAATGACGGATTTCAGGCTGTTGCAACTTGAATTTCTGTGCATTTTTTATCAACAGAAGCTGGTAAACAATTCTCATCCAGCATTCTTTGCTCTCTGGTTTTTCCCCACAACACACTGTATAGCCCACCAATCAATAAGAGCCCCCCTAAGACACTGCAGACACAATAAGAAACTACGGTTAGATATTGAAATCAGAATTCAGAAAGATAACTTGAAGGTTAAGATGGTTTTGACATTACCTCCCTAAACTGATAATCTCGCATAAGAGAAATGCAGAACAGACTATTGTGAAGATCAGATTCAATGGTGTTGACATCGCCAAGAAGACTGGCCCCTTTTTCTCAATAACCCATGCTTGTAGGTAAAATGTCACGCCCGTTACTACAATCCCCTGCCGTAAGCAGCATAGAATTCATCAACACCCAACTACAGATACATATCTATAGGTATGCGTATATTTGTACGTATAAGAACAAGTGCAGTAGTAGAAGTTTACACAGTACGCTACTGCAAGGAGTCTAACATTCCAGCCCAGTCTCCATTCGTAAGGGTCTCTTTCCAGAGCAATAGCAATAGAGAATGATTGAATTGTGCTTAAGAAGCACTGAAGAGCTGTAAAGAGAAGTTTTGAAGGGTAGCTCTTCAAAACCCGACCCTGTTGCACACCAAAAATTTTCTTCATTGTCCTAAAATGGCAGTACAATTTTATCATGGCACAACTTGATCTGGCTAAATGCCTACCTGCAATACGAGCCATAAGCCCCAAAAACTGTTGGAAATCAACATGAGGAAACAACCCTTTATCCAGGTCTCGCCGGAGGAAGTTCGTCTTTGAAGGTTCTGGCTATGGTGGTGCTCAAACAGGTGATGGAGGCAGAAAAGTTTCATATGGGGACCCGTGTAAAAGGCAAGGGTCAATGCACCAGCCAAACAAATTAGTATTCCTACCATTTTTGCAATCCCTGGAGTTGTCTTCAGTCTCAACACCTCCATTCTGCCATTCAAATTTCATCTTTTGAGCCAGTTTGATTGAATACATGCGGAAGCAAAGAAACCATCCAAAAAGTAATACAAAGACACGAAACATTCCAAATTAACCATAACTGTAATTTACAATTTTTATCTTGATTCCAACTTTCCTAATTAGACAATATATATATATATATAGAGAGAGAGAGAGAGAGAGAGAGGGAGGGAGAGAAGAAAGACAAATAAAAGGGAAATGAATGTAGAAGAAAGACATTGCTAAGCTTTCTGACATGATTTTGTTTTACTTGTTTCTCCCAAGAGACATTGTGGGAAAGGTTGCAAATACATGTAACTCCAAACTTAGTGGGGCATTGGATCAGAGCAGATCCAGGTTTTGACAATACCGTTAGCCTTGACAACAAGTAAGTGGTCCAATTTTGATAGTTCAAGTTCTGTCACAAGCAAATTGTATGGCATCGAGATCATCTCTATTGGGCCCATATCATAAGATCTTACGCGTGCTGTATATATCAAGATTCAGAGCTATGTTACATGGACTCGATTTAAGTGTTAGACACGTGCGGATATCCGAAATGGATTTGTTGGAAAATTTTATCTTCATTTTAAGGATGCGAATGTCTTGTTTTTTTTTTTTTTTGTTTATTTGAAGAAGAAGAATTTTAATTTTATTTTTTTAAACAGAAAGATTATGTATTAATAAATCAAATACTGGAACATTAAATATCTTACTTGCATACATGTAAAGTGTTTCAAAAATGTTCAAAATGAATATACTAAGCTGAACTAAGAACTCTACGTAACACCAATTACTTTCTAAAGCCTAGAAGCTTAAAGAGCAGGCCTATCAGATTGCAACCAAAAACAGGCTTTGCAGATTTCCACTG